ACTCACCACCCAAGAGGGTGAGGGATAGGAATATTTGGAAGCCACAACCTGCAAATGAAATAATTCTGCTTCCTGCCAGAAAGTTGATGATCATTTTGGGAACAATGTTGCTGGTATGCAGGATATCCATAAAAGAGAGATGGCTGAGCAGGAAATACATCGGAGTGTGAAGCTGAGATTCCCTGCGGATAAGGAGAATCATGACTGCATTTTCTGTTACAGTCATAATAAAAATGATGAAAATGAAGGAGAAGAAGATCAGACTTGTTTGGGAAGAAGAGAAGAGTCCCAAAAGAATAAAGTCACTGCTGAAAGTCTGATTCTCATGTCCCATAATGAGTTCTTCCTCTGACCTAAAAATAAATAAATGAGTAAATGAATCAACAAATGAACAAGAGGTAAATTGAAAAGGGAGAAAAATTAGCATAAATCTCAAACTCCTTTACATTTCATTGCAATTAAACCACCATATTTCTATTTTGCAATCTTTTGCAAATAAAACCAAGACTCTCAGCCAGCTTTTGAAGTGGGCATGTTTTACAAGATGGACATTTACTTGTTGAATCAACTAATACTTTTCTTTGTTATGAAATAAACAAACCCCTTAATTCTATGTTTAATGCCTTGGAATGTTAACAGTGTTTTGCCATAATTATAAGGATTTTAAAAGATCAGCATAGGAATGAGTTTTGAAGATGTTTGCATGTATAAATAGTTCTGGCTCTTTTGAATGCTTTGACCTACAGCTCAGTAGAATTTAAGATTGTGGTGTCTCCCATGAACTGGTTGATTATAAATTACCCTCTAAAATCAATGAATATTACTGACAACTCTAATTTAATATACCTGTATCTAAAATTGTTTACTTTTTCCCACTGTCTAGAATCATTTTGTCCTTCAGGTTTTTTTTTTTCCACTAATGATTTGCTTTGATAGAATCATCTTAATTCAAAGCTTAATATGTCACTTTAGTGCTAAGAAGAGTGGACAGTGTCTATTCACATTGAATCCCCATTGCTACACAGAGCCCCTGGCCCACTGTATGTTCTCAAATGCTTATTAAAGAAATTACTGACTTATGCTTCTGTGGCTTCTGATATTAATGATTTTTCAATGAGGCCTCAATTATATTTACCTTTTTAGAGAGTTTGTGTTGTCTCCACAAGAATGTGTATCTATTCCTTTGTCTTCAGATAGTGGATGCACTCCATAATATATCCCCTAACTCATTGATCATCTTACTTTTGTCACATTTCCCACACCCTGCCCCAACACCCGTGAGGCATCTACAATTTTTACAACCACCTATTATAACTCTTAGCTTAACCAGTCAATCAGGCATCTGGAAAATCCTCCCATGGTACTGGAAAGATAGACAAAATTTTATTATGACATCTAAGATCTTGAATGAAAGTTGTTCTAGAAGCCTAAGCGCAACAATCCAGTTGCCAGCTTCCTTCTTCTAAGTTAAACAGTTGAGAAAACTCATGTCACATATCACATAGCCTCTTCCACATACGTACAACTCTTACCCAAGGTAAGATACTTCTCTCTCCATCTAGCACCAAATCTTCCTTGTTTAATAAAGCTAAATTTCAGAAAAGAGATGCAGCATGTACTTTGCATTGCTATATCTTCTAGAAGCTTGGAAGCTAATCACAGAAAATGCTGTAATTTTTAGATATTATTTTAGATATAAACACAGTCATATTTCAATTCTTCCTCACAGGATAGATACTTTTGTATTCTTTACTCAGTGAATACTTTATTTATTTATTTATTTATTTATTTATACACTATTATAATACTTATAATATTCTTATCACTTTGCATTTATCAAGATTCTCAAAATATATGTATCCATTAAGTTTGGCTTCACTAGAATCAAACTACTTTTTTCATTTTTTGACCACATTTCTCTGTAATATAAATCAAGCACATAGAATTTGTCTAGAGGTCAATTATTCACAAATCTTGTTAC